GGCGAGCTAATCTAGTGTAAATAGTTCCATATGAACCAATAGCCCATCAGTCCCCCAAAGTCGTAAAACCACCGAACGAGAGACCGAAATTTAGTCGCCGATGCTGTATATGCGTGTGTGAACCGCTTCATAAGACGCTATGTTACAGGTGTATCCGAGATACCAGTCTGCGGACGACTATATCGCCGGGTAAAAGTATTGAACCTATTTCCAAGGATAATGACTCCGTTATAAATTTCCAGCAAAATCTATAATTTCCGAAACGGATCTGTACCTTTCTAAAAAGATCTTAAATTACCAGAAGGACCTGTAAATTCGCAAAAAGATCTTTAAATTAAGGATTAGGGGATATTATTCCAGGAGATTTTTGCATTAATTCGATGCTGAGCTGTCGAGAATTCCGAGTAAAAATTTAATTCCGAGTTTACGGATCAGACCGCGCGATATAGCACGTCAGCCAAGAACAACGCATAATTCAGTTTTGGATTACGGGGAGTCAGTAAATATACGAGTATATTTTCTTTTCGTGAAAGCGCGCAAGATATAATCATTTCGGTGTATGTGCCACGGATATGTAAAACGTTTTGCGAAATTCATAATCTAATTTGGAATTTTGCAACGCCGGGAGAGAGAAACCCAGCTTTGGGGAAAGGAAATATTACGTTTAATCGAAACAATTTTTCGTTGTGTGTACGAACGATTCATTACCTCCCGCTGAAGAATAAAGCCATGGTATATTTCGTGTAAAAATTACCCTGGCAGAAGCCAAAGTGACAGTTTAATGAAAAAAAAAGTATAAAGTGACAAAATTTTCCTGACTACGTTGCAAGCCAAGGGGAGCGGGTCTTTCAATGAAACAGCTCCCGAATTTCGACAAAGCTTATATGACTGACGCCAGGTATGGACAAGCCACACCAAAAAAATTAAGTAGGAATACAAATTAAAAATGAAATAAGAATACAAGCTTTGTAAATCCTTTGGCACTAGCGAGTATAATATACTATTGTCTTCGCAAAGAACGATACATACACACTTGTGCTAATTGCATAAAACAACAAATACATTTGCAATTCGAATTACACGGTTACACTTTATCAATTACGAATTGTAGGCCAGCTGTGATTAACAAACTATAATTTCTAATCTACTTTACAGACACAAAGAAAAATAAATTAACTATTTAACTTAATTGCCTTGCGTTAACGTCCACAACAAAGGCAATGACAAGAAACTTTACAGTTAATTATATTTTATCAACTTCTGTATTCAGGTAGGCAATTGTAGAGCAATTAGTGAAGAGAATGATGAAGATAAACGGCATCATAACCTAACGACAAAATCAATTACAGGTTATATGCACGTTTGCAATCCTCGTAGCGTAGCGTAGCAATTCTTAGATCTTAAATACAATGTGTTAGATCACTTCCAGCTAACCGACAGGTATTTATCTTCGATTCGAATGTGACTTTTGGGATTTCATCCAGACCACGACAATTGTTAAATACCACCAACTCAATGCTTGTAATGTACACAAAAATAAAATACATCCAAAAAACTACAAGACTGAAATCAAATTATTTCCAATTTACATACCCCATTAATGAATGGGTTTCCGATTGCGATATAGGTAAAAGCAAGATAGGTAGTTACATTGAAACGTATGGCAAAACCTAACAAGAAACTATTCTAGCGGCATAGTCCTGGCAAATTTGGTAGAGATGTACTGCCGCCCATGGGGAATAATTGCAGATATGGAGCCACCTTACATTTTTCTGTGGGGATCCTACCGAAAGTGATAAACTAGAAGTAATGCGTACTTAATTTGCGGTCGCTAGTACAGGTACCGCCCGCACACCTGCGCATGTGCGTTCTGTCCAAAAGCTTTACAGCTCTTTTTTTTTCTAAGAATATGTGTACCAAATTTGGATCCAACCGATTCAGCCGGTTAGGCGGAAATGAGAGTATAGACGCACTGGCCGACCAACAGACCGTTATCCCAGAGATTTTGTTTGATTCGGATTCCTGTTGCTTCAAAACGTATATTTCTGTCAAAAAAAGGGGGGGGGGGTCATTATAATAAGGAGCCCAAACTTTTGTTTCATAATAGTCCAACATCCCCATGTTACATGTATTAACAAAACAGTAGTAGTTGTGAGTACAATGAACGTATACATACCCCCTAGCTGGGGCCGATGCCTAACTTTCAGATACCAGGTGCCTACGGAGAAAATTATACTGGCTTTACTTACAGTCTGAGACTTGATTTTTATCTATGATATTTAGGAGGCTATTTTAATATACTTTGTAGACTGCCAGACCAATCCTAGGGGCCAAACACCCTCAGAGCATGTTTAAAGTGCCGCCGTGGGTAAGAGCGGAAGATCATTATAAGTGTGCTTGAGTGTGAGTGAGATAACTATAACTGCGCTTGGGTGTGAGCGACAGAAGGTGGCAGTATGTTTACAATATTCCCTACAACATCCTTAGGAATTAGTCCTCCGACCGTAAGTAAAGTAAGTACAAATTTTACGAACCTGTAGCACCTGGTATGCCTGAAAATTGACCGTCGGCCCAAGGTAGAAAGTGTGTGCACTGTACACGTTCATTGTACACCTAATACGGGCCCTGGGATTTTGCTCTATAAGATCAATTGTGATCCCATCTGAAATGATGTAATGTACTGTTCAATGTTGCTAATGTAGTTTAATACCTTATTATAGTGTTAATAAGTTATATGTCACAGTGAAAATGTCACGTTACACCTGCTCTCTTTATTTTTCATGCGTCTAATGTAACTTGCAGTTTGTCTACACTTTAATTTTGTTTTTTTTTGAGATATGAATTTAATTATTTTGTTGTTGTTTAGTTATGTTAAGATTTTTTGTTGTATATATCTTGGACCAAAATTATATAATGTTTTACCGAGTAATTTTAAAAATGTAAGATTAACAAAAAATCTATTCAAAAATATTCAAAAATGGATGATGACTCAAACGACACTTCTGGACAGTATATTAATTATTCTTGCATAACTAAGTCACGTTTGCTGAAAATAGAACAAAAATGATGAAAAAAAAAAAAACTAAAGCTACACTTTAACTCAGGGTTGTATGCTTAGTGCATAGAGAATCCCTTTCCCTATTAAATTTCTTTTTGATGTTAAAAAATTCATTTTCATTCTTCTCTTTTCTCCTCTTGTTTTTTCCTGTAGATTTTTTTTTTTTTTTTTTGGACAGGTGGGGAAATGCATTACGCACACTCCGGATAGAAGTCTGGAGTAGTGTGGGACTCTCCCATTATCTGGGTATACCCACTAAAACCCCACCTGAGGCTTCGGCATCTATGGCCATTAGCCTTTATACTTATACTAAGGTACTATAATATCACAGTTTCTGAACACACAACACAAGACAGGCGTGATTACATTTACTTATTTACTACACAAATATACATAAAGACAAAAATTTAAAAATATCACAGATGGTTTGCAATGCCAATTTGTTGGATGAACGCGAGAGTATTTTTACATTGCTCTTCATTTTTGAAGTTATTTTCCCATATCGGGTTTATATTAAATATCACACGTACATTCATATACTGCGGACAAATAGAAATAATGTGATGTGGTGTTAAATTAACACCACATTGTTCGCATAATGGCCGTTCTTCACCTGCCAACAAATACCCATGAGTGAGAGCAGTATGCCCCAGACGGAGTCTGTACAGCCTGATCAAGTTCAAACGTCTAACGTCGATATAGAATAGCGGATCCAGACTAGGTTTGATCCTTTTCAAAGCCGTATCAGACTCCGACCACTGCTCACTCCACCGCTCATAGATTTTACTTTTCACAAGTCCACGCCGTGCAGTAGATGACATACTCGTGAAGTCGATATTCTCCAATTGGAGGTGGTTTAATACCTCTCTAGCCCTAACACCTAACGATCTACATCTGTATAGACGAGCAATGGTAGTCGCATCAGTAAGGGATCTAAAATTTGGATGTTTATCATCTAACCTTACTTTTATATAGTAGTTTGCAACAATCTGTTTCCGGCGAAGAGCTAGAGGGGGAATATTTGCCTCGACGTAGAGCGATGGAACTGGACTTGTTGGATATGCTCCCAAAGAATATCGAATAGCCAGGTTCTGAATCTTATCAAGTTCCCCAAGCAAAGCATTATTGCCACACGTAGAGTACGCTGCACATCCATAATCCATCCTTGATAGGATGAGGGCCTTATATATATCCAGTAGGGTCTTAGGGTGAGCTCCCCACCTATGATGAGCGAGAACTCTCATGATGTTCAGCGATTTTCTACATGTAGCAGTAACATTATTTAAATGCTTTGACCACCGTAATTCCCGGTCAAAGGTAAGCCCGAGAAACTTGACTTCCTGAACAACACTGATTACACGATCATTCATTAGTAGCACATGATCATAGTGCGGTCTACGGAGTCGGCAAAAGTGGACAGCCTTTGTCTTTTCCTCCGACAGCACAAACCCGACCGCATTGGCGTTACTACAGATTTTGTTTATGGCCACTTGTAGACTTCGAGTTATTGCACCGACCGTCTTACCAGAACAACAAACCATTAAATCATCAACATACAAACATTTATCAATCATCCCCTCAACACCTTTAGCTATTTCGTTTATGGCGATGCCAAACAGGGAACAGCTAAGTGTTGACCCCTGCGGCACACCATTTTCTAAAACATACTCTTTTGAGTGGATGTCACCGATTCTTACAACAAACTTTCTGTTCTCTAGAAAGGATTCTATAAATTTTGGTAAGTTCCCTCGAAGATTGTATTTATACATATTCTGCAATATTCCATATCTCCAAGTCATGTCGTAAGCGCCCTTTATATCAAAGAAAACCGCAACCAGGTGCTCACCACTGTCAAATGCACTCAGAATTCTATCGGTCAATTTGACCAAATGGTCAGCCGTTGCTCGTCCCTTCCGAAAACCCGTTTGATAAGGTACGTATATATTATTATCTTCAAGAAATGTTTGCAGCCGCACATTAACCATTTTCTCTAGCAGTTTTCCCAAGCAAGACGTTAAACTAATTGGGCGATAACTTTGTGCCAGCAACGGATCTTTTCCAGGTTTCGGTATAGGAATGACAACGGCCTGTTTCCATTCCGAGGGGTAAGTATGTTCATTCCAACAAATATTAAAGAAATCTAATACTTTGTTGCATTTCAGGAGTACAGTGATGAAACATCTGGTTGTGGATTTCGTCTTCTCCCGGTGAACATGACTTGGTGTTACGGATAGCGATATTCAACTCTTCTAAGGTAAACGGAGTATTATAATTTAAGTTTTCGTTAGTATCAAAAATAATAGGAATGGATTCTTTATGTTGTTTAGTGTGAAGAAACGTATCCGCATAATTTTTGGAGCTACTAACTTGGTAAAATTGGGTTGCTATGATATCCGATATATCCTCTGGTTTATTTGTGATTTGTCCCTCTGAATCTCGCAAGAAGGCCAGACTATTGAAACCAATTTTACCTGATACGGCTCCAACCTTTTTCCACACTTCCTTGCTAGTAGTGTCCGGTGTAATCGTGGACACGTATTGATTCCAGGAGCTCCTCTGTGCTTCCAGTATTTTTCGGCGACACTCCGAACGACGTTTCTTAAAAACTATTAAATTGTCCAACGTAGGATTACGTCTAAATCTATATAAGGCTTGATTTTTTAATGATATTTTTTCTTTTATTTCAGACGACCACCACGGAACCATTTTTGCTTTATTGCCAGGTTTGGATTTTGGAATACTGGCGTTCGCAGCGTCTAATATAGCAGATGTAAGAGTTTTTAAACTTAAGCTATCTAGGGCTGGAGGGACGAACTTACTTGCAAAAAGTTCCCAATCTGCTTGTGGGATCTTAAATCTAGCCACTGATCTTATCGTGGGATTTTTGCCTCTAACAGAAATGATTATGGGAAAATGATCGCTGTGATGGAGATCAGTTTCCACCTCCCATTCAAAATTACAGTATATATTTGGAGAACATATAGAAAGATCAATTGCGTCGAATGTTCCGGATCTCACGTTGAAAAACGTGACCGAACCGTTATTCAAGATACTTAAGTTATCGTTTTCTATGAGTTCCAATAACTCTTTGCCTCGGGCATCATTTGAGGTAGAGCCCCAAACAATGTTGTGGGAATTGAAATCTCCGACAAGAACAAAGGGTGTTGGGAGCTGCTTTATAATTTGTCTAATTTGTTCTACTTCATATGCTGTATATTCGGAACGTAGATGTTACAAAGTGTAAAAGTTTTAACAATTTCAAGTTTTACTGCTACAGCTTGGTAAGTTGTATTTAATACAACCCTTTTATACGGTGTGCCTTTTCGAATGAGAAAAGCCACTCCTCCACATGCTCTTTCAGGTGAGTAAAAATCTTTCCTTACCAGACTGAAATTTTTTATATTGTATTTTGATCTCGGTTTCAGGTGCGTCTCTTGAAGAGCAATACACAATGGTGTATACTTTTGAATTAAGAGTTTCAGTTCGTTGAAATTGTTAGATAGTCCCCGACAGTTCCATTGGATAATTTTTGTTGTATCCATTTTAAAAGTAAGTAGAAACAAACACAGTAGAATAATTTAACATGTAAATAAAATAAAAAATTACAGTGTATATGGGACTACATATTACAAACAATTAACAGTTTCACATGATAGACAAAGACAAGAAAACATATCACAGATGTAATCACAGATTAACTTTATTGACTAAAAATTTGCGGATCACCTGCCGTTTTACGAGGCATTCTGGGCTTGCCTTTTGGCCAACCTTTCTTTTTCTTTTGTTGTTTGGCCTCCTGCACGGTCTGCGAATCGACAGAGGTGATGCTGGAGGACCTTGTCCTAGCTAATGACATCCTACGCTTTGACCCTCGCGTTTCCACGTCCATGGTCTCAACTTCCGATGCAGTGGTCGGCTCTAAGAACTGAATACTTGTTTCGCTTACTTGCGAGATAGGTTTTGATTTATGAAGTCCAGATGCATGTCGAGAAAGTTGTTCGATTTTGGTGGTAAGTATCTTCATGCAACTTTTCATCTCTTCCTGTATTATTTTTCTGATTTCAGGCACAGTATTAGAGTGATTTGAAGGTGACGCAGCGGTTATCTGCGCGAATGATATGCTAGGAACCACTAGGGTGTCCACCTTTTTCTTCGCCTCAGGGTACGACAACTTGTGCAATATCTTTACTTCCTGAATTTTCATTTCCTGCTTGTAAACTTCGCAGGATTTTGCAATTGCTTTATGGGGTCCTTTACAATTTGGGCACTCCACAGGAATTTCACATAGAGTACCCTCGTGCGGGGGTTTTCCACATACACATCTCTTCTCCTGTTTACAGTTTGTGGCGGAGTGGCCAAAACGCTGACAGTTGAAGCATCTTAAGGGGTTAGGTATGTAAGGACGTACTTGCAATGGATAAAATGCGGCCATTATTGATTTAGGTAAACGCGGAACGTTGAAGGTAAGAATGTGGTTAGGAGTATCGTGAAACTCTCCGTCGCGTTTCGTTCTTATACGCCTAACGCCAATGACACCCTGGGATTGTAAATTTTCCATTATCTCTTCAATGGTACAATTTAACAAGTCTTTACAATACACGACCCCCTTTGACGTGTTCAAAGCCATATGAGGTTCTACTTTCACCTCGAATTCACCAAGTCGCTTCGCTTTCAAAAATTGTTTAGATTGCTTGCTAGTTCGGGTTTCTATTAGTAATTCACCTTTCACTTTCTTTACATTTTTGACTTCTCCCAATAATCCATACAAAGACTTACTTATAAGGAAAGGACTTACGTTATTGAAGTCGCCTTCCTTCCTTTTTACAACCAGGAACCGGGGCACAGATTCCTCCGTCTCTCTGGTTGTGTTTTCCCGCATCGGGGGAAAAACCTCATCATCTGCTAGAGTTATGGTGGCACAAGTACGAGGATTGGAGCCACCATCCAATTCCTCGTTGGACCGAGCTTCCTGACGGTTCCGAAGGGGGTCCGGCCCAGACACCCCACCGCCCGAGTGGTTTGGATTATTTAAACTTTCCATACCTTTTTTGCATTTTATAGCTACTGCCAGCTGTGCAGGGTGGAAAACTGAAACGGTGACAACAACGGAGCCCTGCCGAATCACTACTACCTTCATGATTTCGTTGCGTCACCAGGATACCTACTATCAGCGCCGAGCAGTCGCTTGATAACGGTCGGGTGGGGCCTGCCCGTTCCGCCTCCTTCCCGACCGGCACTGGGGACCATTCGAACCCCTGCGCCGTAATGTTCGATCGCGAAAAACCTGAATCCATAGCCATGTCAGTTGCGTTTTTATGCTACCGCCAGCACATGTACCGGCCGCCCCTAACATGGAGAACAGACGCCGACCCAGTAGCCGCCCACTATGAGACCGACGCTACTGGGATTTTGAAATACATGAAACACGAGGTACAGTACTATAACCACCACAGAAAGAAAAACAAACGACCTGGGATAGCTTAGCTTCACCACTGCTGGCAACAGTGGTTACTGAGCCCCCCCACCACGACAAGGTGCTTCCCTTGGATATCTTAAAAAGAATTTTTTTTTGTTTTACTATCATGTAGTGAATGCTCACGTATATCAGTTTGTATGGGAATAAAGTCAATTATTATTATTATTATTATTATTATTTCCTTCTTTTTCTTTTTTCTTATTACACTAAATAATTGCGCGTTAACTATGAAATATGTATTGTCTTGTAATTGGAATGTCTGTTCTGTTGGGCAATAAATCTCTATTATTATTATTATTATTAATACCATTAATACTGGTAATATCAATTTATATAAGGCAAGCTGATGCATTGATGCTAAATAGTGATGTAGATTGCATGAAAATATCACCTAGTTCATCAAGGACATATTATTCAACATCATATTAATCACACGTAAAATAATTAAGATACATATTGATTTGTAGGTAACGAAAAATTCAAATCTTGCGTAAGATCTTTGGTAACCAAATTACTTACAGCATCCTTAGCCGATTCCGAACTTGTGTGCACCAGCGGCGTTCCGGACAGCCATTTCTTCGGCAATGCAAGCAGCGATTCCCTCCATCCTGAAATTAAATTTCCATTGAGTATAAAAAAAAACCTCACTTTTAACCGCATTTCAATTGTAACCACTGGTTTAATTAACGTCAATCTATCTAAGGTAATTAAGTTGCAGTCATTTTTCAGAGGTAACTAGCTTTAAAATCTGACTAGTAACTGCAGCTTTACCGACGGCCGTAATAGCGTTAAGCTCGCGGGAAGTTCTTAATTGCCGTTAAGTGACATTCTTAGTCCTGATTTATCGTCATGTTTAGTCGTGACGTTTATTGGGATGCTCTTGCCCTTGCCAATGTTTACTCATCTCATAATCTCGTTATGAATGCGGGTCTCTTTTATGTCAGCTGCTACCCTACAGTAAATGATAGAGGTGAGGCTTATAAGCAGTATTATGGGCTGGGCTTCCAAACTTTAGTATCTTTTTCAACACTAGTATGGAATATATAATTACGTAAACTTTAGATCGAAGTTTTAGAAAAGGATATAGTGGAAGCAAAACAATGTAGGAAAAGTTTCTATAACTAGCACTTAGAAAATGTAATTTAACAGGAGTAAGCGTACTTTCCACATTGCTGACGAACTCGTGACAATAAAACAACCTGACAAAGCAATCAAGCGCGTCAGCTCAGGGTGTAGTTCATGAGGGAAGGAAGATTGGTCAGATACGTCACGGTCTCAGAAATTAATGGACCATCTTGTACGCCCCGACGTACTAAGTGCTGACTCTAATAGTTTTTGTAATTACAAGACATATAAAAACTTTATTGCATCTCACAACCCCACTAAAGTGAAAACGTGATTATTAAAAACAGAATTATGCGTAACATTACAACTGTAAGCATCACAGGTGTTTACTACAGAGTAAAATAAATCTTTTACGTACGAGAAAAACTCGGATCTTCTTTGTTAAAAGCCAAGCTTAGTGGAAATGTGAGTCGGTAGAAAGGGATTTGTTAGGAAATAACCTCCACCTTAAATTGGCTCTACACCAAGGGAAGGTGCCACGCCATGGATCAATATAATCGTAAATCCTTATAAGAAAAGGCAAACCAAATTTCTTATTGAAACAGGTCCTTGTATTAGAGCGTTGCATTGCAGTAGTCCTGAAGGCCCGTTGATGATTATCTGCCAAGTTGTTTTTCAGTCTCGTTCGTTCCCCGAAGATTCCTCACTCCTCCCCTTCTATGTACGGTTCTGTTTCCTTTGTGTGCGGACAAAGTTAACGTTGGGAACTTTTTAGTCAAGCTCTCTGGGGATTTACCTCAGTTGGTAGACGTGAGGCGCGAGCAAATAAAAGAAACGCGTCGACTGCAGTTGGACGTGTTTTATATCCAGGCTTTGAAGTTTTGCTTTGTGTTGATGGGTTTTCCAACATAAATCGCCAATTTCACATTCCGTGCCGTGTACTTAGTACTGCAATTGTTTTTAAATTATGAAACCATTACATTCAACGGCAACGTTGACGTTTACATTACTTTTATAAATAGATGGATAAAGTGGAATTTATGGGATTTGGGATGCAATATTGCGGAATTGCAGATTGCGGCTTGCGAAGTATGCGTAGATATTAACCAATATTCTTTTGTTACTACAAAAAAACAAAGCCTAATGTTTTCATTTCGTCATGACATTTCCCTTTATTTTTATTTTATGTATAAAGAAGCCCTGAAGCGTTCAGAGGGTGAAATGGGGCTCCGTGTCGGAAGGCCTCTTGAGACTTTGCCCTGCACTCGATCAACTCAGATAACAACACTCATGTTCATCCTTTGTTTGAAACAACCTGCAGCATTATAGTATTTTCCCTTTTACTAATTGCAGCTGTGTAACGTAAAGTAATCGAAATGTTAATTTCACTGCTGACATTTGATATTGGGGGGTTGATATCAATGGTCAACTAAATGACCTGGCCATTAAGTGTCTTGTTTCAATCCTGTAATAAGCCATGTGTAATCTTACAGGTTTAATTAATCGTGGGTGGCATCTATCAGCGAATATTTCACAGAGAAGTGAATTACATTTCCTTCTTTGAGCTTGAAGCATTCTAGTATAAAATTAACGTGATCGATGGCGAGCTTTGTTGAACGTATTCCTAAATGGCCTGTATCCTCGTATTACTTTTGTGTCCTGATTTGTTCAGTTCCGATATTTCGAACAATGCCGGTTGTCCTTCTGCCTTAGTGCTCTTGAAATTTGAAACGAGATCAATGACTTGTACCAAAGAGTAATTATAGTTACTCTTTGCTTGTACGTTAGATATTGATTTAACGTGTCTTCAGTTTTCATCACAAATACAGTAAGAAATTGAACGTTTCACACGTTGTGAATCAAGTCATACTACATTCGAACATCGTTTCCAATCCACTGCCCAATAAGAGTGTATCGAGTTTGAATCGGAACTTGCATGTTGTACCTGCAGTGAGGGAATGTTATTTACTACGAATGTTAATAGCACCCTCAAAGAAATGTTACTCAATGAGTAGGTGTATTTATAACGATTTCACTTAGATAAATGAAAGATCAAAGGGGTTTTGCTTTCGCATGTAATCCATATTCTGTGTAGGATTGTAATGACTCTTTTTGGCACAAATACCTAATGCAGTCCCTGTACCAAACATACAAACCAAAATTTGCTCTTTTTCCAACCATCTTGCTAGCCTGAATTTTGAAAATAGATTTCTAGCACTAGTCCCAAATCCCAATCGGCTTGACATTCAATCCCTTTCAATATAGATAAGGTGTCAACTTAAATCGACCAGTTGTTCTTCATTTTTCGTGAAAAGGTCATTCTTTATAAAAAGTGCTTATTCCAAAACTAAACACACCATTTAGTTTTCCTACCACATGCGGAGTTTACGGGCTAATGATCCTATAAATTTACTTTTGATGCACCTGTTTGAAATCATTGCCGGAGGTGGCTTGTTTGGAGAAAACCATTTCCTACTTTACTGGATTACAAACCTTGTTGTTTCAAGACCTCTACTTGTAAAAATTGCGTAATATGCTATTACTTATCAATTACAATGAATAGTTCATAGTTGATTTTTTAGCAAAAAAGCTCACAGATTTCGCAATCCATCGGAGGCATTGGAATGGTAACCGTATAACGCCATTATGTAAAACACAAATAACCCTTATTCACTCGGGAACCTAAACTTTCTTAATAATAAGCGTCGTAATATGCTTGCACTACTATCACGAGAGATGTGCGATAATTTTAGATTGGAATTAACAAAACAATTGCACACTATTAAGTACCTAAGTACCGTATCGACAGTATTCGCGACTTTTTCTTAATCTACCGAGTGCGGTCGAGTACGGTACAGTCATCACTTGATGCAACACCGTGTCTTTTCTGCTTGAACGAAAACTGTCTAAGAATATGTGTACCAAATTTGGTTCTAAACGGTTCAACCGTTTAGCCGGAAATGAGAGTTTGACACACTTGCGCATCTGCGATTCTGCTCAAACGCTTTTCAGCTCTTCCTTTCATGTCTAAGAATAAGTATACCAAATTTGGTTCTAATCAGTTCAGCCGTTTAGCCGGAAATCAGAGTACAGACGGACCAACAGACGGACATTATCGAGATTTTGTTTGATTCGGATTCCTGTTGTTTCAAAACGTGTATTTCCGTCAAAAAAGTGGGGGTCATTTTTTACCCCAATGCATATTCCTTAAAATATAGGTAAACATTTTTGTCGGTATGCTTATGATATTTGTGGTCGAAAATATGGGGCGTCGTATTTGTTTGCGACCCTACCACTTTTTTCCTCGCTGTATCAATCCCGCATAAAATGACGTATTTGATCACGTGCAGGGAGAGATACAACTGGAGGGCTCCAAAAGGTGAAATGTAAGGGAAAGTCATGCAAATTTTATTATTTTTCATTGCGGCCAAAAAGTTTATAATTGAACACGTACCTACCGAACCTACCATGATTAACATGGAAATTAACGAAAATTCAAATCCAAAGCTTTTGAAGTAATGCTTCGTTCAGACATAAGACTAAGGTTCAAAAACAAGACGATATTGTACACTAACACACTTTCCCTACGGTTGGAGACGTAATAATTAGGGATAATTCAATAAACATACAGTGTGTAAACCAAACCAGGTTCAGCCCTGTATCTTTGGTATAACTTGCCATATCTTCCGAATTTCTATTCCCAGTTGTCGGAAATCCTCTTCTATATACCGTATATCTCTCTTTTTGTACTTCTTTTTGATTATTCTTGAAGAGGTTGTGACTATCACTATTATAACGTGAATTTAATTACCTGGTTTTATTTATTTTCAATGAAATAATAATTAACTTATAACAGTCGTAAAATGGATTATTTAATAGTCATTATTATTTATCACTTACGATTTATAACATAACACAAGCGCGTCGCAGCTGGAACTAAACTGAAACGAAATTCGATTTGCTTATATAGTAAAGATATTGAAATATTTCTTTGAAATTTTAACCAAAGATGCTTCTCGTAAAGGCAAACAGATCGCATATTGTAAACAGCCGGTGTGCGCATAAGCAGACTGCGCAATTTCATCTTCCTTATTTAGCGAGATATTGTGATATTTTTTTGAAATTTTAACCACAAATGCTGCTAGTAAGGGAAAGCAAGTGGCATTATGGTAAAAATTAGGTGTGCGCATACGCAGACTGATGCCAATTTTCTTGTTAATAGAAATTTATTTAACCTATTAACCATATGTAGAAATATATGGCGCACATCGCTATAGCTTTTTTGTAATTACTGATGGAAAATGCGCTAGTTACTCCTCTTAGGGGGAAATCCTTTTTCTTGTTTACCTTACAACGACAAGTAATATCAGAAATAAATACACACAAGATTTTATGCAATTCCAAACCCGTGAACAATTTCACTATGTGCATTGTGCAATGTGAGCCAACTGAGCACTATTGAATGATTCCAAAAATAAGTGCACACGGTAGAAAATTCTTTGATTACATCGTATCAATGTCATTTACGGTTTACACATTGGGG